AGAATGTTTTGAAATAAAAGTCAAATTGCATTTAACCTGTGCGTTTTTTTTTTATTATAAAAAGAAAAGGTTTTCCACATATGCAAAAAGTGCCCTTTTTTCCCCCTGGAGCACTTGCCCCCCAAAATGTCTGTGCACGCCACTGACTGTTTCCCATCTTGGCTTTTACCCGGAAAAGCCCTCGCAGCTGCAGCCATGGCGGTACTGGTTCCGCGGTATCGGAAGCTCCCGCCACAAGCTCCGGAACTAGTTAACTAGTTAACAGAACTCCGGTTAATCAACCTGCTGCATGAACGCGCTGGTTCTAAGCGCGCTTTCATATGATTGCCTATGGAAAATTAACCGTCCAATCGCTGTTGACGTAGCCAAAAGTAGCTGAAAATATGAATTAATAAAATCAGTAGGCAGACTGTAAGAGACACCGGGCAGAATATCGAAAGAGCAAAAGTATATTTCAGGTACACATGAGAAAAGCTTCCAGTGAAGTGTAACGCACATCATTAGAGTGCTGATGAGGAGCTTAAAAACACTGGCCTTTTTATACATGGTATCTAAAATAGTGCTATTTAAACTAATAAATAACTAATAACACTCCTCTTACGGCTCAGTACAATTAGAGCACTGCAGTTTGCTTAAAGTGATGTTCCTTCGTAGTTCTTACCTTTCATCTAGCAGGATATTCTCTTGTTGCGAGGCCCAGCATTAACACTTTGCCTACAGTGCACAGATGTTTTTCTTGTTAAGGGCATCTAGGCAGTACTCTAGGCTGATTTTGGGCCCCACGAAAGCCCCCCCACCCAGACCAATCCTCTGTCACTCAGGGAATGGTATTAACTTTCCCCCCTTTCCGGAATTCCTGCACTACCTCCCTCAGTCCAGTGCAGCCATTACTTTGAGAGCTATTAGCGTGTAAAGTGGTGGTCTACATAATAATGTATGTAAGACTATGTATGGGTTTTATGCGACAGTTTTGGACTGCAGGCTATTGTGTAAAATTCACTGATGTATCAATTTTCACGTCCTATGTACAGGGTTACCAACTTGCATGAATTAGGCTTGACTGTCATGCAAGAAATCTATATTATCCCATTATAAATCCAAAATTAGCTACCTCAAAAGAGCCGGTGGTAGTCTGCAAACCCTACAGATCGTTTACAAGCAATAAAACTGTTACAAACATGTAAACGTGTGTGCATGTGTGTGCAGACTTATCTGGAATTGAAAATCTCACCCCAGCCAGTTGACCGAAGTTGGCAGCCCTGTATATTTCGCAAGGACAGCAATAGTCGCCTGGTTTGAGACCATCAAAAAGTTCTGCTTAAATAGTATTTACTCTGTCTTAGGAAACAAAACAGCCGCTGGGCAAACGCAGAAATGACATACAGAAAGACGGAGACTAAAACGTCCAATAAAAACAAGTGAGGATTAAATGATACAGAATTTTAAATATTCTATAGCATACAGCAGGCAAGTAAGACTGTGGCAATTGATTTTGTTTGCCATTGTGCATAAAACATGGAGGTTTTAAAATAAAAGGTACTGATAAATATGTTTAAAAAGAGCAGTAAGGTGTACAGCTCAGTGTGGTGACAGAGCACGGTATTTTTTCAAGTAATTCTAGTAAAAAAAAAATGCTAATAAAACAGCGAACTCTGCTGCATTTATTAGATTTTTACACTTTGAAAGACCTCCATCCTCATTCAATATGAACTCACGGTGAATTCTCATTAAGTCATTGTATTATCTCAGTGGCTCAGATCGCTTCCCGGAGTAACTTCCCAGCCAATAACACGAATTCAAGCTGGTTCTTGTGCTGGTCTTTGATGTTCCAAGATGCTGGCAAGGATGCTCTGGGTAAGGACGCTTCGACAGATGTTCAGCGCGCACGGCTGGGTTACTGTCATCTGCTCTTCTGGGTGCGCCGCGGAGCGGGAAGCGCGGCCGGCAAAGAGCGCGCTGTAATAATCCCAGCGCCTGACGCACCGTCATTTGAAGTTTGGAGCCTGGAAACTTCACCCTTTTCACCTGAAGACCTGAAAATGCCTGTTTCAGTCTCATTCTTGTTCTGATGTACTAAGGTTGCTGTATATTTCACAAAGTTATGGAAATGTGTGAAATCTGAAATTCAGTGTAACATGTCTCCAGACGGAAACTTTTCTGTAGAGTTAAAATACGCAGCTGGTTTCTTTAAATACAATATTTTTTTAAATTTAACTAAAAAATAAAAGTGTGGGTTTCTCCCATTGTCAGCGAGTGTGTGTGCCTGTGTGCTTGTACATGTGCGTATGATGTAAAAATGTCATTCTGGTGTGTGTTTTCATTGTCCTTGTTTGACAGGATGTTCCCAAAACAAAGACATCTCAGGTCATTTCAATTGATGGCAATAAAATCAACTAAAGCCATTAGCACCAATTATTTAAAACAACAGCAAATTGAACATTGAGCTTCATAACAAACCAGCAAAATTTGTCAATATGAACAGATTCGACCAGGTATCCAGCTGATTGATTTGTGCAAATATCTTTAGGATATTGATATGGCAAGTCCGTTTGAAAAGGGGCTTTTCCTTGATGCCGCAGAATGAGAGCGTCTGTTGCCCTAAATTGTATTTTTTATGACATGTAGCTAGCTGATACAAACAAACATTAAATATCGTATTATGTTAATCTGCCAATGTACCATGTTAAAAAACATAATTTATAATTGAGTAATTTCCATTTCCTCAAATTTTCTGTTACATTTATCAAAACCTAGCCTTAGTAGGAGCAACACAGACTGTTCAGGGGTTAAAAGCGTCCGACTTACGGACAACTCATATATACAAATGAACTGCCACAAAGGCTATTTTATTATAAATTCAGGTTAATCACAACAGGTTGTAATAACAAACGCACACACTACTTCATGATGTTCATAAAATCATTGCCCAGCTTCAGCATTTCGTCTGCTCAGAGTACAGTACAGTACTGTTTGTCGTCAGCATTTCGTCTGCTCAGAGTACAGTACAGTACTGTTTGTCGTCAGCATTTCATCTGCTCAGGGTACAGTACAGTACTGTATGGAGTTACTTTCATTATTATTATGATTAGGGCCTTGTCTACATGTACACGGGTATTTTCAAAAATGTAGCTTTTTCTATCCGCTTTGGTCTTTCATCCACATGGAAACAGTGTTTTATGTCACTGAGAACCCTGTCCACGGTTTTCAGTGTGGTCTTGGAGACAGGATTGTAACGTCAGATTGTGCACCGTTGTCTACTTAGTTTGATGTCAGCTAAGTATGTTACTCTAATGGCACAATGTGCAAGAAAACAATGCTGGTTTTAAACCTGCAAGAGAATCTAAGAGTAAACCTAGAGTACCTTCAACAGTATTCTGATATACTCCCTGAGCAAATACAGTATGATGGTTCTTAGCTTAATTAATGCTTGAATCAAGCATCCCAAAAGAGATCAGAGGAAATATATTTGATCTGAAGTTAATGTAGTATAAAACAATAATTTACCAAAATATGCTGCTATAAATTTGAATCCATATTGTCTTGAAAGGGCTTGACAAACCTTATACATCTTAGTAATCTAATATGAATCTGAATTGTGAAAAGAAGACGTCATAAAATTGCTGTATTGAACCCAGTTACAGTACAAGGACAACTTTTGATTGCAGAGTGTATTAGGAGCGATGCAGAAAAAGTACAAGGAGGGATCTTATTAAAACAGAAACAGTCCACATTTATTTTGTCAGGAGATTGCCCAAACCAAGCACGTTGAAATGATTAATAAACACAGAATGTACCTGCGTGGACAAATAAAAAAGGTGGCGATACGTAGAATCAATGGCCCCCACAGTAAAGCTGAACTTATTTAGCAATCAAACATTTTCAATTACGATACATACAGTGTTCTCTTTTGTGAAACCAACAATGGGGTCTTTGCTTGTAATGGTCATCTAATGAGAGAGAAATACAGTGTCCCTGATGTCCGTGAAACCAAACCGTTAATTACCTATTACACAATTACGGACTTCCGGAAAACTTCACATATTAACACACATACACACAGAAAAAAGTGATACATCTGGGAATAAAAACCAAAGGGACCATGTGCATCACAAAGGGAAACGCCTGCAGCTGACCCCTCCCTCGACACATGGAGGATTTACGCTGTCAGTCCAAGTCCTCCTGCCTCTGGTTCACTGTGCTGTTTGGACATCCGGAGAGTGAGAGGCAGGGAGCGCTGTGCAGTCCTTTGAAAAAAGCCTTACAGAAAGTCGCTTCAGCTATAGCAGGGCGCCCTTCACAAAGCCACAGACAAAGAGCAGGATGGCGCCTCCGTAGCCTGTAGCTGTCCTCGAACCTGCAGAAGAAGATGCGTATTTTCTTTAGGCCACCATGTTCAGTGGTTATGCTGCGTCGTCACAGAGCATTAAACACCCGCAGCACAAGAAGCTTGTAATATCCAAGAAGGTAAAACCAGAAACTGGCACATTATTGGCGAATTGGATATAATCTTTCCTTGAAGTAGATAACCTAGCCTTAATCAATGCAGTGAGCATGCAGTGATGTCACTGCCTCTCCAGCCAATCAGCTTGTCTGAAGCCTTACCGAGCAGCCTCTCTGAGGGTCAGCAGCTGAATCACTTCCTTCCAGTAAAAGGGCTAGCAGAACTGAATCATTTATTCACACTTCTCAGTCCAAAAGCACTTCAGGGAAATTACAAGATGTGATGTCATGCCAAGAAAATCGTTAACCTTTCTGCATGAGTAGAGCAAAAAATCACATTCTAAACAAGCTGAATAGGGCTTCTTAACAACTTCAAACTGTAACCTCTGCATCATCTGTGAATGCCTATGAACTGTCCACATGAGTAGTGCATGCATTCTGGCACATATACTGTATACGCTTTTGGTGACATTTTTAGTGTGTCATTTATGCATGTGCCCAGTGATGTACTGGAATCCAGTATGAACTGTCCACATGAGTAGTGCGTGCAATCTGTCACATATACTGTATATGCTTTTGGTGACATTTTTAGTGTGTGTCATTTATGCATGTTCCCAGTGATACACTGGAATCCAGTATGAACTATCCATATGAGTAGTGCGTGCAATCTGTCACATATACTGTTCAGTATATGCTTTTGGTGACATTTTTAGTGTGTCATTTATGCATGTGCCCAGTGATACACTGGAATCCAGTATGAAGTGTCCCCCATTTCCCAGACACGCCTCAAATAATTCCAACCCTGACTGAATATAAATATATGTGACAATGCCTATTGGTTCGTTGTTGTGAAAAACAGTGAAACATTATTCTCTAACTGCTTGTCTGAAGAAGAATGTAATTTTGAGAAACGAGTGGATATGGACTGAGCAGCAGGAAGGGGGCAGCAGCCCCCTACTGAAAATGATTAGTCCAAAACTGATTAGTGGCTGATTCTCAGCTTGGGAGCTGGCTACGATTACGCAGAAGGAAGAGGGTTAAACACGTCCGCCACTGGAGTGATTTCAGCACAATTTCTGCGGCAGAGACACTGATAGCAGAGACACATGGGCTGGCAGAAGCTACAATCGGAATGGAGAGCGACAGACAGACAGAGACGTCGTTCCAAATGACCGGGTATCATAACAAAGTGATGTGGCAGGGTGCTCCAGAGGGCATCGCACGGGGCACAACCGGCTGGCAAAAAGAGGATGGCAGAGCCTCAAATGTTTCGCTCGTAGTCTGGGAGAGAAAATAGGGAAGCAGTGGCCTTCGGGAACTTTCTGGAAGCGAGCTGGAGCGAAGCAGACTCCTGACACAACGCTGTCCAGTGCCAGCGGTAATGAATCAGACCAGGGTGCAAGTGAGAACCGCGGGAAGAGTGACGGCTTGGCAGAAATGCAACCAAAATGTCGCAACCACAGCAGAAATAATAATATCACAAGGATTTCTGCAAATGAATTAGGCTTAAAGGGCAAATGGGATAATATTACTTATACAAGAAACACTGGAATGTTAATGTGAATGGAAAATGTGGCATCAGACATAAAGCAATGCAAAAATGTCATAAGAATGGTAAGCATGTGAAACTGGCAGCTATATAGGAAATGTCACAATGATGTCATCATTACAGAAAGCATGTGACAATGTCAGACAAAAGAAACTCCATATGACTGTCATAACAATGGAAATCATGTTTCCGACATCAGGTATACAGGTATATAAGAAACCTGATCATACTGTCATATCAATGGAAAAAGGTGACAATGTCATATATATATATACACACACACACACACACACACACACATTTTAGTGATGTCATAACTGTGGTGCCCGGAAGACTAATCATATTTCAGCAACACTGTAACTGTGGAAAGTGTCAACAAGTATGACAGCAATACTTTAATAATGGGAAATGTCACAATGTGAGACAGATGAAAGTATTTCCTAACTACGGCAAATGTGTCATAGTATCACAAACATGGGAAACATTCCAATAATGCAGCAACAACAGAAAACATGTCATAACTTCAGAAATACAAGACACTCTGCAGTACTGTCGAAACAAACACATTGCGGCAATCAAAGTTACGGAATATCACTGGGGGGGGGGCTAAAATCCTATTAGGCAGCAGTGCCAAATCAGAGCATTTGAATCTCATATAATAATTATAACTGAGATTAATTTCCACACTAGTTTAGATACTCATTTACATACAAGCACTGTTGAAATGTAGCTAATTAATCCGTGTGGATACTCAGGATTATCAGTATGCTGAAGAAGGGAACTCGGCCGTCCCTCGCCAGCACAGAAGCACGCCTTTCCAGTAACCCCCCCCGTAGCTGAATCCATACAGAGCTGCTCATTGAATGCCCGCTTTACGCCAAAATAATTATTATTAGTGCAGCGGAGTTCATCTATTTTGCATTAATTTTACTACCATCTTCTACCTCAGCAAGCGTATAATTATTGCAATGAGCTTGACCCTAATTTAACTAAAAGTTCAAGAATAATTGATTACAACAAATGAAGCCTTGCGTGTCGCGTCCATAATTAAATGGAAATGGAGGCAGGGGGTGATTCTGCGGAGCGGCAGCCGGGCGTGATTCTGCGGAGCGGCAGCCGGGCGTGATTCTGCGTGGCCTAAGGCAGGATGGCATAGAAGCCGCTTTGGCCGGCGGCGATCGCTCCCCCCGCAGCATGCAAACACTGGGGGGGGCGGCATGCATCACTCCAGCGCTTTCATAGCACCCCCGACAAGCAGATTTAAAATGGACATTTTAATCACTGTTCAGTTAAATGGCGTTGCTGTCGGTGAACCCGCAGTCTATTCACCATTTAAATGTACATTTCTTAAGTGCACTTACATAAATATGTCTTAACTATGCCGCCGCTCTGTTCTAATGTGTCGTCGACTCTTATAATGTATTTTACTTATGCTTTAATGCTGCACTTACTCGCAGTTCCTTACTGAGCTATATTACATAACTGTACCTCCAATCAGCACATCGACATTTTTTCAAAAGATAAGAATAGAGACGGTCTATGCTTTTGAGTTTGACCCCCCTTGTGCCCCCCCCCCCCCCCCCCCGAGTTTTTGCGGCCCCAAACAATCACTACATTGGGTGGAGGGGGGTTAAAGGAGCATGAGAGCCTTTGTCTTACAATGCTTTGCCCATGTAGTAATACAGGCAGAGTATTCTGCATGAAGTATATCGCTCATTCTGTTTTAAATGCAATGCTTTGCTCGTGTAGTAATACAGGCAGAGTATTCTGCATGGAGTATCTCTCTCATTCTGTTTTAAATGCAATGTTAAGTTTAAGGTTCTTGACCTCATTTTCTTGTTATATACAATATTACATAAACACTATATGGACAAAAGTATTGGGACACTTGGCACAGGAACTTTTATAATGTCCCATTCTAAATCCATAGCCATCGACATGGAGCTGGTCCCCCTTTGCAGTTATAACAGCTGCCACTCTTCTGTCCACAAGAATTTGAAGTGTGTCTACGGGAATTTTTGCCCCTTCATCCAGAAGAATATTTGTGAGGTCAGGCACTGATGTTCGACATGAAGGTCTGGCTCACAATCTCTGTTCTAGTTTATCCCAAAGGGTTTCAATGGGTTTGAGATCAGGGCTCTGTGCAGGAGAGTCAAACCCAACCAACTATGTTTTTAATGGACCTTGCTTTGTGCACTGGGGCACAGTCATGCTGTAACAGAAAGGGCCTTCCCCAAACTGTTCCCACAATGTTGGAAGCATAGAATTGTCCAAAATGTCTTGGTATGCTGAAGCATTAAGAGTTCCCTTCACTGGAACTAAGGGGCCAATCCCTGAAAACCAACACCATACTATTACCCCTCCTCCACCAAACTTTACAGCTGGCACAATGCAGTCAGGCAGGTAACGTTCTCCTGGCATCTCCCAAACCCAGCCTCGTCCATCAGACTGCCAGACAGAGAAGCGTGATTCATCACTCCACAGAACACATTTCCACTGCTCCAGAGTCCAGTGCCGGTGTGCTTTACCCCACTGCATCCGACACTTTGCATTATGCTTGGTGATGTGAGGCTTGCATGCAGCTGCTCAGCCATTGTTAGGTTAAGAGAGAGAATAACTGCCACCCATTTCCTGTCATGTTAAACTGATGCATTGCATGATGGATGCTGGAAAACCTTAACAAAAGCTTTCAGAGTTTAGCTCCACAGCAGTGTGGTATCCATTAAAACCCGGATAAGCGGATTTCTGTAATGTTATTATTCGGTACTCTCCCTAACCCCATTTTGTAATAATTGCTACTTTGCCCCCAGCTGACACTGGAAAATGGGGGTCTTCTGAGTGTTAAATGTGTGTCCTGCTCTTTAAACAAACTGTCCCAGTATTCAGTAGCTTATGTGTGAGATGCGGCCAAACCAATCCTGATTTGTTCATCCCGGAGCTCTTCCCTTCAGTTCGTAGGACATTCACATTTACAGACTTATATCTGGCTGATGCTTTTGTCCAAGTGAGAAAAAGAGTGTGGAAGGTGATGTCTTCCCCGGTTCTGACTTCCAACTTTTGAGGTAAATGCAACGCAGCATTAATGAAAAATGCAGGGCCTTTAATAAGCTCATCTATTTAAATGCTACTGATTTTTTTAGGATTTATGAAAAAAAAATGCAAGGATACATGCGAGTTTATCCCTGATTTTCTCTCAGTTTCCGCCACATGATCTCAGTTGGTTCCTTTCCAACAGACATGTTTGAAAATCAAACGTAAAGAAACATGACACACATCTGGGTCAAATCCTCCATTTTGAAATACTCTTTAATTTTCTTATGGGTATTATCTTCACATTTATTTAGCAAGTTTATTTGCCCAAATTGACATACATTTGATAGAGTAGAGTCTGAGAGTAGAGTCTGAGAGTAGAGTCAGAGAGTAGAGTCTGAGAGTAGAGTCTGAGAGTAGAGTCAGAGAGTAGAGTCTGAGAGTAGAGTCTGAGAGTAGAGTCAGAGAGTAGATTATGAGAGTAGGGTCAGAGAGTAGAGTCTGAGAGTAGAGTATGAGAGTAGGGTCAGAGAGTAGAGTCTGAGAGTAGAGTCTGGGAGTAGAGTCTGAGAGTAGAGTCAGAGAGTAGGGTCAGAGAGTAGAGTCTGAGAGTAGAGTCAGAGAGTAGACTTAGGTTAAAGGAACTCATTCTGCCAACCATGGGATTTGAACCAATAACTGTCAGGTGACTGAGCCACCCATATTGCATTGGGAATCACTTTGAATTTCACATGCACTGAGGCTGTCAGGGGTGCTCCTACCTGCGCTGGGGTTGCGTGGCTGTGCTTTCACCTGAGACCTGGAGGTGGAAGGGGGGCGCTGATGCTGAGAGCTCTCCTGTGCCCCCCCCGCGCCGCTTCTCCGCGGCTTTTTGTCTGTCAAGTGCAGAGGCGACGTCTTCTTGGCGGCCGGGCTCTGCGGGCGCGAGCTGCTATTCACCTGCAGGAAGGCCTGCACCTTGTACTCCAGCAGCTCGCCGTAGTTGGCGTCCGTCACTCTGCACTCATACAAGCCCTCATCGCTCTTGCCCACTTTGGATATGTGCAGTTTGTGGGAGATGTCGTTCCCCTGGACCTTCACCGTCTGCAGGCATGCGAACAAGGCTGAGGTTTCTCACTTTGTCATTAGCAGGCAATCTATATCCTTTCTTATGCCAAACATCACATACCTGGTAATCTATGTCCTGTCTCATGCCAAAATCACATCCCTGGCAATCTGTGTCCTGTCTCATGCTAAAAATCACATCCCTGGCAATCTACATCCTGTCCCATGCCAAAAATCACATCCCTGGCATCACAAGGAAATCATAGTGCAGCTGGCATCCAGAAATTTCAGATGCCCAGCTGTTTGGTGGAGGACATTCTTGCAGAAGCTAGTGGAGATTCCCTGGGAAATTTGAGCTCTTCCTCTAGAGAATCATACCAATTAATTCAGCTAATTATGGCTTCCTGGAAACAATCAATGAATGACACGACTTCAATCTTTCAATTAAGATGCAACATTGTTAATAAAAATATTGGTTTTATATTGCTGTGCAGCTAGTAAAGTCAGAACAAAATGCATAGCCTCAGGTCATTCTCAGTGAAATAAGCTGTTATATTCTACGTGTTGCACTTATTAGATTCTGTTAACACTTTGTTCAACATACAGAAAGGCATAATGTTTCTGTAAATGCTTACGCTTATTTTCGTGCCTTCGTCATCTGGATCACTCCCTGGTAAAAAATCGGTCTGTAAAAAAACACACAAACAGAATTATGCACATTAATGTACTTAAATGGCACATTTTACAGAGCAGAGAAAATGCTCATTAATATTCATACCAGCAAATATTATGATTGCTGCAAAACCAATGATGACAGAATCCAAAAAGCATGCGCAGATATAAACAGGTGTGCGCACACACACACATACACACACACACACACACACACACACACACAGCGGTATTCACACTCCCACTGAGGAGCCAAGTCATGTGACCACCGTATTCACACAGCGGTAATCCCACTGAGGAGCCACGTCATGTGACCACCGTATTCACACAGCGGTAATCCCGCTGAGGAGCCACGTCATGTGACCACCGTATTCACACAGCGGTAATCCCGCTGAGGAGCCAAGTCATGTGACCACCGTATTCACACAGCAGTAATCCCGCTGAGGATCTTATTTGCACTTGGAAAGTGCAAAGTCAAGACGTAACAGCCAGAGCCCCCTATTGGCTGTAAAAGTAAAACAGACAGTGGCAGCTGATGAAGTTTTAATTTAAAAATCTAAAAAAGAAATGTAACAGTTCTCTAGAGAAGATAGGAGCTCTGTGTATGGGATACTGCTGATGAAAGTATATATCTCATTATCGTCATTGATTAGATTTATTTCATTAGTGATATTAATACCTGTGGGTCTGAATCAGCTTAGCCTTTGTCTCAAACAGAACTCCCAGCCAGTTCTATAAGAAAAATATGTATTCCATCAGGAATCATGTATTCTACGACAGGATAATAGTATTATTTTCGAGGAAAGCCCTCTGGCATTTTAGTCGCTAGAAGGTTAGGAGGGACAATCCATTAGGATAATCACTCATCAGCTATTTAGTCCTTCTGCGAGTTTTGTGAAAGACCACGCTCCAAGATCTCCAGACCATTACCAAGTTCAGGGACGCTAACTGGGATTAATTGCGAGTAGGGTAGCTGGCTACTGGAAGCTCTGATGTGTTTTAAACTGCAGCCTTCCCAGTTCACACTGAGTCCACATCACAAAGAAGGGTCGATTTCCCGGATGCTCAAGTAAAGGCCTCTTAAGTATCCATGCAAACACAGCAGCATGGGCGAGATTCACAGGAAGATAATAAAACTATAAGACACAAATGTTGAAGGGGCACTCAGTTACTAAGCAGAGAAGAAGACAGTGCAGCCAGTGTTCAAACTTACCTACAAATTCGACTGGAAGACAGACTTAAGGAACAGATCTCCTTCGTAACCTGGGCACTGGTCCATAAAACATCAGGCCATGTAAGTATTTTGCAGGGAATGAGTAGCAGAGAAAGCAGTATCTAATATTCCAAAGCAGGGGCGCTTTGAAGGGCGGGGGGCAGTCAGGGTAATTCCTAGGGCTGCTGAGTGACGGGGGCTCTAAAAATTAGAAACGTAGTTGGATAGATCTGGGCTGCAGGCCCAGTATAATATGCTCTGATGTGGCCCGAAAATAGCGGCACCCCTTTGTAGAAAGAAAAGAGGACAGGCAGGCAGCCGATAACGAGAACCGGCGACGGGCAACGGAAATGCCTCATAAGCGCTGCTGTCAACGGGGAAAACAGCCAATCACAACGACCGGCGCCGGGCAACGGAAACCCCTCAAAAGCGCTGCTGTCAACGGGGAAAACAGCCAATCACAACGACCGGCGACGGGCAGCGGAAACGCCTCAAAAGCGCTGCTCTTAACGGGGAAAACAGCCAATCACGACGACCTGCGACGGGCATATTCAGGCTGGTCCCATATTCAGCTATGAGATGTTTGTTCCGCCATCTTCATTTGTCTTCTGTGGTTCTGTTGCATTATTTCTATTTGCACTTTTAAAACTGTTAAAACATATTTTCTTAAAATGACTGCCTGACACAAAAAGAACACAAAAACTGATAATTCTTCAAAATGGAGTTAAAGTGTAAATGTTTTGTTTTTTGTTTTTTACTATTGACAATATTTTGCCAAAGTCAATAAATTATGCGAGGGCTGTTTTATATATTGAAATGTGCAGGTACACTGTATGTTTTAGACCTGTTTGGGATTATGATATATTCCAGGACAGTGGGAAATTTAATGATTGGTTGAAAATAATATAACACAGAGAGACACATATTACATTGTAAGGGATGATAATTTTCATATTAATATTGTGTTAGAAATATTCATGAGCACAGACAATGTTCATTGAAGTCTGATATGTCAAAAATAGAATATCCAGCAGGCCTTTGTAATAAGTTCCTTCACGCGGGGTGCAGTGTATGGCTTAATGCGCGAACATGTCATTGGTCTCATACCGCTATAATTTATTCATTTATACCAGCCAAATTGACTTTGTCTAGAGAAGCTCAGCAACTCCAGCCATCAGCAGTACAATTTTCTGTCTTTCAAACAGCGAGTGTCAGCCAGCCCCCGTCGCCGTGGATACGCAGCGGTGAGAGGCAAATCAGACCGAACACTTTCTAACACTTAGCTAACTGTCCGGGACAAATTGACTCTTGAAGCCATGAGATTAAAACTATATTATGCAGTGTTTTTATACAATGCAGCTCTGAAAAAAGATCAGCCAATTTCATTCAAACTCTGTTTCGTATTTCTCCCCTAAAAGTTGAAGTTGAACCCAAGAAATGATACTGAAATGATACCGTATTCTGTCAGGGACTCCTACCGTACATGGGAGGTAATCAGCCTGAAGCACTTTCCCAAGAGACGCTAAATCCACACAGACGTCACTGTGTGACACTGTCACTGTCCCCAGACGCTCACTCTCTGGGGAAGTGCTAACTGAAACAATCCCAGCACATCTGCTATGCACAAGTATCAGCACTAGTCCCATGAGAAGCATACAGATGACATTATGGGACTTTCTCGGGGGGGGGGGGGGGGGACAGGAACAGCAAGACTATGTAGGGATGGGGCGATGAAGGAGGATTTAGGATTAACGAAAGAGTGGACAGGAACGAAAACAAAAGGCAGCTTTGGGGGAAGCACATGCAGTGCAAGACTCACCAAAACACATTAGGCTATAAGAGCTTGAGTTAAGTGCCCTGCCTGTCTGATTATTCCAACAAATCCATATCGTGAACAAAAAAGAACAAAGCAGAAACGCAATCCGGAGCACTCGAGCCATACTACTACTCGAGCCGCAGCACACCGTCAAAATCATCATCAAAACTCCTTCCAATGGATTTTCCAATAGCCAAATAGCCTATATGAAAAAATGAAGGGTAAAATATTCACATTGAACAGCCAAATGCCATTTGACTGACAAAATTCTGAGTCAGGTACAGCCCGATTATCCAGTACAAGGAAGCATTGTGCCTGCATCCAACCCAGACAGCACAGAACACAAGGCAGGGGACTTCTGTGGACAGGATGCCAGTCCACCACAGGGCACAGGGCAGGGGACACCCTGGACGGGATGCCAGTCCATCACAGGGCATAGGGCAGGGGACACCCTGGACGGGATGCCAGTCCATCACAGGTCACAGGGCAGGGGACACCCTGGATGGGATGCCAGTCCATCACAGGGCACAGGGCAGGGGACACCCTGGACGGGATGCCAGTCCATCGCAGGGCACAGGGCAGGGGACACCCTAGACGGGATGCCAGTCCATCACAGGGCACAGGGCAGGGGACACCCTGGACGGGATGCCAGTCCATCACAGGGCACAGGGCAGGGGACACCTAACTGCATGCATTTGCACTGTAGAAGGGAAGTCACAAAACATTGCAAGAACACAGAAAATCCACACACAGAATTGAACACCCATTACTGGACTTTTAAGGTCACAGGGCAGCCTAATATCCTATCACGCTCTTCTCATCTTTAAGTCATTCTCCTATGATTTCGGCTTTAGCATCAAATCAAGTTGCGGAGCGTAATGCTTGTTGATACATATCAATGCTTGTGGACATTGCTGTAGATTACACAGCCAAGTAGCCTGTTACCACTAGTTGGCTCTAACTGGCTGATTTTCTCAGCTGGATAAACAGACACACGTGTGCTTATCTGCCCTGCGACCTGGACCGCGGTAGCCTGCTGCCCCCCACATTCCAGGCCCTGACAGGAGCACAGCTCTGATGATGCGTATCTTGCATGCTTTTAGCATCTGCGGCCAGTTGAAGTGGAAGGACAACAGTCATATTACAATGGTGTGGGTTCAGGGCAAAATCCTCAAGAGGTTCAAGAGGAGCCTTTACCTCGGCATTGGGAAAGCCCTGGTAGTCTGTCACAATGGAAGTGAGAGGATCACAAGCACATTGGGGGGGGGGTACAGTTACGGGGCTGAATGCTCGGGAACAGCAAAGAATGGAGAAAGAATCACACAGTTCTAATAACGGCAGCTACCCTACAACCTCTAAGGAGTGTTCCCTGAATGGGCGGCTATTCGGGGATCAGCTTCGTTCATAGGCGCAGTGCTGATCAGACGAGGGTCCACTGGGCTGTGGTCTTCTTGCCTCTCATCTGAATAGCCTCGTATTATATGGTCAAATTTTATTTTTAGAGAGTAGTACACCAATGATATACTGAGAATCCATGTCACCGTTTTGCTTCAAGACTTGGCTGTTGTACCAAAAATCTTACAATGCACCCAACCAGTGCTTCCCACTCCAGTCCTCATGGACCCATAGACAGAACACATTTTTGATAGTAGAAGCTGGGAAGGGATGTGGACTGTCTGGCAGGGAGCTGGGAGGGAGTGAGAATAACGACTGCCAGAGCGTGAACCACACTCACCAGCCACAATCAGATGCAAAGTGCCTCGATGAGGCATGCACATGATTCTATTTTCTCCAAATTTTGGGACCATCTGGACTGGCTTTTTAATTTTTTTAAAATCAGGGACACACAGATGAGCCTGAAGGATATTAGATACACTGGTTGTTGCTCAACTGGAGCTCTTTAAGCACTTGGTGGGATGGGAGCTCACGTCACTGGTGTTTCGGGGTTAATCTCATGCCATTCAGGTCATGCAGAGCTGCAATGG